ATTGAATTTAGAAATAAGCACGTTAGGTAGCTCAACAATCGTTTTAAGAAGCTTGTAAAAGTAAAATGAAACTACTGCTAGTATCATGTTCCTGCCTAACCCGTGTGATTCAGAGATATTATTTGTACTAAACAAAAAGATGCCGCTCTTAACGGTAGAGTTAATGATAAAGCGATTTAAAAAATGAAACGAACGTAATTTCTAAATCTGCTGTAATAACCAAGAAGCTTAATTTAACTGCTATTCAAAATCGTCAACAATAAATTTTTTACGGCTGTAATAGTTGATAAGATTTGTAGAGAATTGCACGTGCCATGGCTATTTATAGTATCATACTGTCAGAAAGTTGGTCTCGGCACGGCGAATGTGCACGCTTCAGTGGTAGTCTCGAACTATCAGCGGTGGACTGTATTTCTGTGAGTACATGGGTCACCCTAATATAGTGTCCCCCCAGGCCACCACCCAGCCAAGGTGAAAATTTCGAAAATTAAATGGTCGCAAACATGTTTTCCAGCTATTTCAGCCCACGAGTACAATATACCGGTACATGTAATATATAATAATATATATGGAAAATGGACAGTGAGTATAAACTGGAATAGGCCATCTCTCAATCAAGTCACATGACAAACAAAGCTGCTTAAAATAGATTTTTACAGTCTAAGAGAGATTTGAAGCAAACTTTTGATAGATATTAGTTTTAGTATGTTTTAAGTCCAAATGTATCATCAAATCACACAGTCTGTACAATACGTACATGTGTCAAGGAACCTTTAAATTAATTTGGGCTACAAGCAGTGCTTGATTTAAATTTGGGGAGTCCCAAATACAAAACTTCCTATTGACAGAATTTTCCGTTTGATTTTGGGAATTAATATGTATGCCACTACAGAATACTTGTGGGCCATGTTTATAATTTTAGGAGAGAGTCAACCTTTAACTCAGAACTTTCCAGGTTATAACTCATAATGACCAACTGTAAATGTCTATTAAAACTAGAAAACAGTTATGTTCTAATCTAATAATATCTCAGCTGGGGAAGAAGATTGATTGTTAAGACATTATTTAGGACAACGACAACAGTGGGATGTCTTTTCAAATATTTTACAAAATTCATTCATCTGTGACTGCATGTATGTGGTTACTATAATATCAGACCACACAGTCTCTTCTCTACTGATTATCTCTCTTACTTTTTATAAAAGAACAGTATCTTACATGGCTATCTACAATAAGTGACCTTTCACACATTACAAATGACCGCTGATTGACAAGGTGGGGATTATTTACATAGACAAGTATCCTCTTCAAGTGTCACCCCTTAATGTTTACAATGTCTATAAAACAAGAACCTACCAGCATTTATAGTAAATTAGACGCTCCTCATGAATAAATTGTAACTTAGTCCCAAAGCAAGATTAAATGTCCTCGTAAAGATGCATGATTCTATTAAACCAATTTCTAAATAATATACATTATCAAAGAGCCATCATGGTTCAACTGATTTCAAACAAGATCATACCGGCATATAATATATTTAAAATAATTTACATTTTATACAAAGTAGATACTGAATCAGCAGAACTATTTTCAGACTGATATTTCTTTTAATTATTTGCAAGGGATTAAAAATCTATCAAATGACCATATTACACAACATTGCCTTGGCCATTACAACATTACAAAAGAGATCCCATTGATTCAAATTTCTTCAAGCTTTGCACTTAAAATTAACATCAAAAAACACTCCCAAGGATTGGGAGCGAAAAACCTCATTACGTGGTTAATGAAGTGTGGAGAGAAAATGATCTACGTGTATGTTCTACCTATAGATCTGTAACTGTAATTTTATACAATGTGAGTAAAATGGGATAAAAAAACAGAAAACAATCCACAAACCAGTTATTTGCCTCAAGGGATTGATGCTAACTGTAGATAAACTAGTAGAAACAGTTTTAAAAACAAGATATATTTTAATACTGTAGTCTACTGGTTTATATGTGGGAGTGTTCACATTGTATGCATCGGTATACTATTACATGTAACACCACCGATGTATAGATATATCACAAATTACCAAAAAATCTTATCTTTTCCTTGCAATTATTTTGATTTTAAACATTCTAAACAGGAAGATTGATCTTACAGTAAATATCTTTTTAAAATGATATTCAGTGTCTAATGCAGCCACGGAAGCTTTATTGGAGAATTTATAATTAAAAAGTCCACAAGCTCTAATTTCTAAAATTTATTGAATGTTGCCTTGAGTTGTCCATAGTACTTTCAATTTTGATTGCTACAATGTCGGCTATAAGTTTCTAGAAAGGATCTGACAGTCCATCAAATCTAATATTCTCCAACAAGCAGATAATTGGATTATCCTGGATCTCTGACAGAAAACAATATCTCACCACCATGCCATTCTACCAATTTCTCCCAGTAACTTGCTTTCACTTAACTATAAATGATCTACACATATTGAAAACGGTAGTAGGTCATGCCATTTTCAAATTCTTTTATTTTTCGTCTATAAGGAATACATCACGCTCAGTGGAGAAGACATTGAAATTAATCTACAGTACACACAACACACAATGTGCAGAACATCTAATTAGTTAATAAAATAATTAACAAATTATGGATTTAACTTTAAGAGATATCAATAAGAACATGGTCTAAAATTTCCCCTGGGTTTTAATAATCAGTTTTCCTTTATCAAAAAATTTACCTACTGAACTTTCCAGACATGATGTTTTCTAACATAAACAAAGTTTACCAGCAATACAAAAATTTCTATGGTTAGATAGAGAACAGGATTTCTTCTACCTGCAGATATTAACAAAGCTCAAACTAGACATCTAAATTAGATTTAGCATTCACTGTATACATTTAAGTTCTGTGTATAATATCTTTGATTTTCTTAAGTTTAGATAATGCACTACATGTATAAGAGTATCAAAGATGGGTATGTGCTCAGAACTCTGGGACAAGAATCATGCAATGTTAGCATTTCACATTCTGTAAACATGATTTTCTTTACAATGTATTTTTTTGTTTGATAATTCCAGCCCTGAAATCTAATAATAGACATACATCATGCAAATTCACTTTAATAAACTTCTCCACTTTTATTGAAAATGCCTTATATTTATTTCTGAAATATTGTGACCGAATATGTACATTACCGTAATTGACAATCACTTTATAGTACATGTATGCATACATTGTAGATGCATTTAAATTACATGTAGTCATGTGTACGCACATAATATGCCATCTTAACATTAACAATCACATAATATATTGATCTCTACATTGTTATTTTTTTAAAGGTAGTTTTCACCTTAACAATTTATTTAATTATGCCACATGCAACTTGGACCATATGTGAATATTTCTTGTGAGGTGTTCATTTGTGGATTTGGAATTTTGTGCAGAGTTGTATGTTCTTTTATAATGTCCATTATCTATTTGGTGTGTCTGTGGCAGTTTATTTTTCATCATCCTATTCTTATTAGTTGATAATGGTTGGGATGTGATGGCTGAGGAGAAGATTAGAAACAATACTCTCCTGATGTTGATGTAACGGATAAAATTCAAACTGAACATTGAGAATCCATGATAAACAAACTTTAACACAAAATAATTTAGAAAGTTATGGATGCTGCAAATGCAGTGTTTGATAATCTGGAATCAGACAAACCCCAGTTGAATATACAGTAACCTCTGATGTTTCTCAATCCCTTTCAATTTTTGAATACATTATTGTTAAAAAAAAAAAAAAAAGAATCAACCCGACATGGTTCCCAAATATACATGTAAGCTAATTATTACAGGTACTATGTACAAGGATTGCACAGTGTATTGTGGGTAATGTCAATTCAATGTGTAATGCATTTGTGAAAGTTTGTTCACCGCTGTCAAAAAATCATTTGGCACTGCCGGCAAAATCATTGGGTAAATGTATTTTCAAGAAAACCGTCTTACTATATAGACCTAGACTGAAAATGTTGAATGAACATAATGATGACAAGTTTTGAATCAGGAATCTTGCAGATGACTGCATTTCAGTGTGTTTGTAAAATATAACTGAAAAACACTTTGCCTTTTCAATCTTTGCTATTTTGTACTAAGAGACTAGACTTAGAGCCAATATACTGCAGTAAATTGAGGCAATTTTAAATTCTCCCAATGCTTCCCCAGCCCAATTTCAAAATCATTGGGTAAATGTATTTTCAAGAAAACCGTCTTACTATATAGACCTAGACTGAAAATGTTGAATGAACATAATGATGACAAGTTTTGAATCAGGAATCTTGCAGATGACTGCATTTCAGTGTGTTTGTAAAATATAACTGAAAAACACTTTGCCTTTTCAATCTTTGCTATTTTGTACTAAGAGACTAGACTTAGAGCCAATATACTGCAGTAAATTGAGGCAATTTTAAATTCTCCCAATGCTTCCCCAGCCCAATTTCAAAAACATGTCCAAAACTGCTTGGGTCTGGGTTTGCATGGGGTGTTATGACTGTCATTGTGTAACAATAAAAACTTGTAACAGAATAGTGTTAAGGACTGGCTTCTAACTAAAGATAATGTGCAAAATATAAAAATTATTGTGATAAAACTTTGTAAAAGTGTGAACGAGTTAACATCTGTGACTGTGGGTGGGCGAATTGTCAACTTGTAGGCCTAATAATGTGGACGAGTTTGGTGTCAATTTGAAAGCAATATCCGTGTTATGTACCTGTTAGGTAATTTTAACAAGACGGTGGCACGGGCGGACCCACAAGCTGTCCTAGTCTGACCGTATTCGAATAACATTGTTACAAAACTGTCGTGAACGACAGTCACACGGCACAGTGTCAGTAGCAGGCACTTCAGTTCAGTCACTGACAGTTACGTGAAATTCAGTTTGCAGCTTTTCATTGCAAGCTTTAACCTTCTTGAAACATTTCATTAACGATCTAAGATACCCATAAAATATTAAGAACACTTACTTTGACTAGATTCCGTTGATATAGTTAATAATATAAAAATAAGCCCCTTGACTGTCAAACTTTCCGCCATCTTTTCACATCTTCACTGTAAACTAGTACAACGCCGTCTAGCGGTACATTACCAGCCAGGGTCTAATGATCATAATGCACAGGGAAAGATCGGTGTCTTTGATGTGTAGCCGTTGTCACTGTTGATGACTCACGCACGTGCGTTCGTCTCGAGATTTTATCAATCGATACACGCAATTTGTCAAGAATTATGTAAGATCAGCAAGAAAAAAAATTCAACGGATGATTCTGGCGGTAAAAATACGACTCGATTAGTATGCTATTTAGCCTATAGGCGCCCCTTCATTGATTTTTCGTTATCTGTAAGCTATTTCTATTCTAACGAAAATAATTATACAGGCATTACAGAATCAAGTTGATATTTTTGTCCTTTCGGTTTTCAAAATAATGGATAATTTAATAAATAAAAAAAGAATCAAACTAACGACAAATAAAATTTAAAAAAAACTAATATATAAAAAAAATAACAAAATAACAAAACTATCTGAAAACCAACTGAATGTTGTTTGTCATTGATCGGTTTTTCTGAGTAAAAAAAAAAACACAACAAAATGTAGCCTACTGACTGAAACAACAATATAAGAATTTTAACAAAATCACCAATAAATAAATTACATATTATTCTTTATTTTTAAAGTAATGATGCGGCTTTACTTCGTTGAAATAGTGCTAAATGTCGTGGCTTACAGATCTAGCTGTATGACAGAAAGACCATCGGGAAACGTCAATTGACAGTCTCAGTATAGCAAAACGGGTCAACAACCAGCACTAGCGTCTTACTATATAATACCAATACCTGGTACCTATCTTCTGCATTGTTGTCAAAATTATTTTTATTATTTATTTCCTCAACACCCCATATTGAAACCGTTAAAGCGATAATTTCATATTTTCTAAGAAAGTCAAAACATAATTATTTCTATGTCTTTTGGTCAATAGGTTGTCAACACACTATTATACGATCATGGGCATTATTTCCCACCATTAAAAATCATTGACACAGGAAATAATAACACAATTACCTCCCTTGTTTTCCTATTACCTCCATGGAATAGCTATGTTCAAACGTTTGAATTTAAGCTAAAAATGATATTTTTGCCAATTTCTCAGCTGGCAATAGTGAATTATAGGATTAATAGGATTATTCTTTAACAAGGTAGAACTGTTTATGGATACCTTTTATTTTAAGGCTTTATTTTAATAAATTTTAAAAATATAAAAATATGAAATTGTAACTTTAAACTATATAGCAAATGAAGTGAAACGGGGTTAAAGGTCCTTATACCATGTGCAACTGGGCTAATTAAGACAGCATTCGCCATGCAGGTGGTATAACGAGAGAAATGTTTTTTCTTCGGATAGCAGCGGTTCGAAATCTGTCTACATTTTTTCGAATTTTCCGGGGTTTTCTTATGTACACGGTTGAACCTCGGCTTTTCATCTCAACGACTAGATAGATATACACCTCCCTTGTCAACACTACAGTTACTCCCCTATACCAAATTGGAAACGGTTTATACAAGTATCTCGAAATCCGCAGTTGTCTCACAGGGAAATTGCCCCACTGCCCTTACATTTTTGCCGACTGTTCTTTAAAAACTATTTCAACAGTATATCCTTATAAGCCTTCGGGTCTGTGATGTTCAACGGATAACTCTTTTAGACGAAATGAAAGGGTTTAACGTCCTACTGTTTTGCTCCAACTGGGATAATTGATAATACGCCATGTATGCAGTGTGCTATGAGGGATATTTTGCCCGTATTGGCTACGTTTTTTAGAATCCCAACTGCCAAGGGTTTTATTTTTACGTGCACGCCAATGTGTATAACGGGGCCTCGGTTTTTCGTCTCACCGAAGATTATTCGTTGTCCCCTGGCAGGCCCTCTGCCCTACACCACTGACAAGTGGGAACCACGCAGGAAAATCCCGATGAACTTTATCGGCCAGTGCAGGGAGCGAACACAGGACTTCCTAGAGTCTACCGAGCCAACGTCCTACCCACTGAGCCACCGTGGCTCCCTCTTTTATATGAAACTGGATTTGAGACTTTTGTTCGGAATAGTTAAAGTGCACCAAATTAGTATCTAGTATTCTAAGTTGCATTCTGATCGAATGGGGGTTTAAATGGTAACCGGAGCAGAAGATGCCATATTTCATCGTTTAAGCACCCGAATTTCGCAAATAATTCGAAGGGGGGTTTCCGGAGTGAGAAAACAACACCCCTGGCTCCACAACCCGAAAAGGCACCTTCCGGGGCCACCGACTCTACGTCACGTACGAAAAGTAATTTAAGACGTTAAACCCCATTTTTAGTTCATTTCACAAAATCTGCTGCTTGGTAGAGCTTTATTGACGTTTGGGCATGTGCGTATTTAAGGGGGTGTGGTGTCGAGGGGGGGGGGGGCGCCCGCCCTCCCTATGAGACATATTGTAAACGCCCCTAATAAGCAATTCATAATATGAACTTTTTGTTAACTTGAATAAAACTGCTTTCCAGCGAGATAACGATCGGCGAACATCTCATCATGGTCTACCGGGGCGCTCAGTGTTATTAATTTTATACATTTTATTACGCCTTTTGTTGACATTAATTGTGGGATAGGATTGTGGATGGCGCCCTATAAATTGGGACCGACTCCCTCCCGCTCCTCCTCCCCATTCACAACTTCTCCGCTATACTGCATTTGATATTATCCGCCAAATGCACACGAACATTACGCCCAGTCAGTACTCCAACTCATTTTATTCGGTCCTGAGAACAATTACAAAATATTAATCTAAGTTTTTGGTATGGTGAACATTTTAATATTCCGCTGAGACATTACATGTGACTTTTTCTATTTGAGTTAAGTCAGTAGAAGTATTTTGAATATCATTATCGGTAAAAGGACTTTATATAATTTACCTTTTAAATTTATTTTAAAAGAGCATTTAATAGACAGCGGTAATTATGCGGTAACTATTGCACCTTTTCTCAAAATTAATGGTACTCATTTCTTTATTATTAAATATCATCAATTCCAAGACAAAATTGTACAGAAAACGTAGTTGAAAAGTAACGTAAAGGCTTTGAAAAGCTTTAAATTGTCCTGCATTCCGTGATACGGAAAATCGCTATAATTTGACTAGTTAATGGACACTGTTCGAGAAAGCGCTGATGTTTTTTTTTATGTCATTATATTGTAAAAGTAATATCCAAGAAGCCACGTAGGAGAAAAACGAGTTTGCTAGTAGAAATGAAGGACTCCATTCGGTAGCTAAAGCACACTCGATAGACCAATGTTTTTAGTACATGTGCCCATGCGATAGTTTGAATGATGTCCAAATTTTGAGGCAAACACCCACCACCGTTAACTGTCTTTTCAGTTTTGAACGAAAAAAGGGTGCATAATTCTGTCATGGACATATTACTCATAAATACAGGTCACAATTCTATATTATTACTGAGCGACGTTTCGAGCTTCTCTAGTCATTATCAAGCAATGATAAAATATGAAAATATAACAAGACAATATATACATGTACACAACAATACTTGGTTAATGCTGATCAACCAGAGATACGGCATCTTCAACGCAGCGGGTGAGGTGACCCTTGGGTACTCTCCAAAGCAAGCAAAAGCTTAGTTCGTGAAAGGTCCCTAACTAAGTTAGGTCTTCTTTGGGTACATGTAATTAAAGGACAATATTGGTGTCAGTCATTATTACATATATGTGATAGAACTGGTTAAACACATTCCAAATATAATTTTAACACAGAGATCATTGCAACGATAGATGCGCTATGAAGCGTTCAAGAAAGGGAAGTGACGAACGCAAAAGGAAAACACGAGTTATCCCTCTCTATATAACTGACTGAAGTGACGAGTGATAACAGATTCACGGGCGAATTTCTACTCACTAGTAATTGCTTAGAAGACCAAAAGTTGTTATATCAGACTGTGTGAGGATATCTGACAATTCAAAAAAATAATCGACTCTCACTAGATAAGAGAAAACGAGAAAAATAGAAAAAGTCCGTGCATTACCATGTTTTTATAAAGTATAAAATGAATAAAAAAACAAGGGAATATACGGGCTATTTCTATTTTTTCTCGTTGTCCCTTATCTAGTGGCATTCAATTACTTCTTGAATTGTCAGATATCCTCTCACAGTCTCACATAACAACTTTTGGTCTTCGAAGGAATTATTAGTGAGCAGAAATTCGCCCGTGTATCTGTTATTACCCGTCACTTACGTCAGTTATATAGAAGGATAACTCGCATCTATCGTCGCAATGATCTCTGTATTAAAATTATATTTCGAACGTATTTAGCAAGTTCTATCACATATGGTTGGTCAGCATTAACCAAGTATTGCTGTGTACATGTATATGTGTCTTGTTATATTTTCATATTTTATCATTGTTTGATAATGACTAGAGAAGTCTAATCGAAACGTCGCTCAGTAAAAAGCAGTAATTGTATTCTATAGAATTGTGACCTGTATATTCCAGCTCAATTACTAAATGCCATTGAAACAATTTATCAGACATATTACTCGTAGCGTTTGGATCCGATACAATCTCTTTGTGTTATTTACTTCGAGAAATACATGTAAACGTCATAAATTTATATCAACTATCCCAACATACACTAAGACTTTAAAATGAATAACAACAGAAGATACACTGGAAGAAATTTATATTTTATAAGATACATTAAAACTGCAATCTGATAACAAAAAAATTAACACGATAATATAGGCTTGGGTAATTTTTAATGGGAGCTCAAAAGAGTTACTTCCCTTCATCTCTATACGCTTTGAAATAAGGAAATGTCGGAAATTCGTCATATTTTCTAGAAATGTAGAACAGAATACCAAATAATTAAATATATTTTTCCATATCAAGATTACTCCCTACATAGCATCCACATATTTTTGGAACCACAAAACACTTTAATTGCACCGACTCGATTAATTCTAAATTCCGTTTGAGCTATTACATAAATAAATTTGAATATTAGAGAATTAATAATATCCATGCTTCCCATGATGATTGTTGTAGTTAGTTTCATCATCCCACCAAGGACTCAGATCTAAATCAGGTAGACTATCGCATGAAACTTCTGGATTTCTGAAAATATAACAATAATTATGGGCTACCAGGATTTATAAGTCCGATAAAATGTGAAGCTGAAATTTGGAAAATCATGGTAGAAGCTGCAATCATTGTCTACATTTGTTTCGATAGTTCAAACTTTCATGTTGGAGTACATGTATATTGTCGTCAACCTGTTCGCCCGTTCGTCTGTTGGCCGTCCTATGCTCTTTTTATTTATTATAACATACATTATATCCAATATTCAATAACAAATGACAGAAATGCTAATACAAACATGCCGATTAAAAATAAAATAGTCAACAAAATAGTAAACTGTGTCCGGGTAGTCAGAGCACTATATTCTCTTTCCACAATCTGCCAAATATATTGTATTCTTTCTGACTCCGCGATCCGGGTAGGTTACGTGATTGTCCACCGGTCACGTAGTCAAAATTTTACTTGATCGTATAAAAACATATAAAAATTACCTTTTAAGCATTTGAATATTCTATAGTATAAATCTATATAGCTTACCCATCTGTTACAGTACGGAATGGATTCCTCTGTATGCTATCTAAACCGATTTCGTCACAGAGAACTTTAGATAGAGTTACTCGTTTGAGTGATTCAAGTTGATCTGCAAAACATATAAAACGGGAAATTAATAATTAATACAAAAACACAATGCTACCAAACGAGATTATAGATATAAATTTTAAGGCCTGTTAGTTTTGATCATTATTATTATTATTATTATTATTAAAATCATATTGTTATCTCACCTGATGTAAACCCTCGTTTACGATCCTTGGTTTCATGCCAAAAACTATCGCCAAATTTTAGATCTTTAAATTGTTGAGCCAAAATACAAGTGAAGGTTGGACCTAGCTGAGAACCCCTGAGTGGTGGTTCAGCTAAACCTCCTGCAAATACATCAATGTCATCTACACTCCTGTAATAGTAACATATGTAATAATAACAAATGCAACTATCATCCTGTAATAATAACAAATACATCTATCAACCTGTAATAATAACACACACACACACACACACACACACATATATATATATATATATATATATATATATATATATATATATATATATATATATATATATATATATCATGCTGTAATAATAACAAATGGATCTATATCAACCAGTAATAATAACAAATACATCTACATCATCTGCAGTCCTGTAATAATAACAAACACATCTACACCATCTGCAGTCCTGTAATAATAACAAATAGATCTATGTCAACCAGTAATGATAACAAATAATAATATACATATAACTCTATTATCTACTCTTTATGAATAGGGAGTTTGTGTTCCAACAATTATCGCTTCAGTTCTTTCGTTATTTAACTTAGATAAAGAAATGAAATGAAATGGGGATTAACGTCCTACTGTTTTGCTCCGAACTGGGCTAATGAAGACGGGCATACCCCATACAGTGTGCTATGAGGGATCTTTTACGTGCACGCCAATGTGTACACGGGACGTCGGTTCTGCATCACTGACAAAGGGGAACCACGCCACTTAGATAAAGAGCTGACAGTTCTCACTATAGATAAGTCAAATTACTTCAGTCTAAGCCGAGAAATACTCATTTTAAAAACATTGTAGCCTCGATTGTCATTGCTGCCGCTGTGACGAAAATAAAAGTCCCGATTATCCATTTTTGTAATTAATCATCAATGGCTGTTGAACGGTATAGGTCGAATTCAAATCTAATGAAAATCGAAAGCATCAGATGGCACCGAGAGTCGATTATGGTCTTGGCATGGGAATAAATATGTAATTAATAGTTTATATAACATTTCAGGCCCAAAGAAAGAGCTGCAATAGGCAGATTTAGCTCTTGTTATTCATTCAGTGAGTCATAAATGGCATCTTGTTCAAACCCACCTATTAATTGTTTATCATCAGCATACGAGTACTTGTTTATATGAAAACGGTGTCTATAACATGCCCAGACGTTTTTTGGCTAGTACAAACAATACTGTTCCGAAAATGGATCCCCGGGGCACCCCACAGTTAAGCTTTACAAATTTAGTCTCCTGTTGTCTGTCAGTAAGATAAGAGCAGCACTGCGCGGGGTGTGTGCAAGACAATCATAACCGTCTCATGATCAGTAACATATATAACTATATCATCTACAAATATAGCCATCACCGTTCTGCAATAATAACATATACACCTATCATCTACACTCCTATGAGAATAACAAATCAATATACATATATACCACCTACACCCCCTTAAGTAATAAATATGTACCTGTATATTTTAGCCATATCAGGCCCTGCTGATCCTAACTGCCGAGAATAGAATGACTTAACTCGACGCAACTTGCATAATTTCCTGAAAGCGTTATAAGGAGGTAACCCATGATCCCTTCCTCTTTGTATATTGAATGAAGCTAAATCAAAAGACAGATCATCCACTTCAAACAAATGATCTGTAATTTCTTCTGTTAGGAAACGATCTACCGTTTCACTTGGATTAGATAAGACACTCTTAACCAAAGCTTTCAGCTTTTCAAATACAAATTTAGGATTGTTGAACAATTTTCGAGAGAGGACCTTTTCGCCATCAATGACTAAGAAATTGGGAATCAAAGAATGACCAAATCTGAAAGCTGCCGTGGCAAAAACACTGGCTATACTGGGATCAATGTTGATGTTATATTTATAGTTTCCGTCTTTCAGTTTGTATTTTCGTAAAGTTCTTTTATTGAATATTTCTGGCAGGAATTCGAGGTAAGTAATTCTCTGTAAACAGAAAGAAATGTCATTTAGATTCTAAATGAATATACATAACAGTGTTTTCTCGAACGTTTACTCAACACATGTCGGGTCATTTTGAGAATAACATGGACAATAATTATGCAATAAGTTGTGTGCAAACGTCTTTAGCAGTGGGTGGCGCGTGTGTGTGGGTGTGTGTGTGTGTGTGTGTGTGTGTGTGTGTGGGGGGGGGGTAATCCACGGAAAACCCACAAGGTTAGGCAGGTGGCACAATAACAGACCTGATAATCTAAAGCGTTAGGCGCCCCCACTCTTTTTCGGTTTCGTTATTATAAACATTGCGGACAATAGTTAATTTTTTTCGGTTTAAAGATACATTATGTAAAATTTAGTTAAAGAGCTGGACGTTCTTGCTATAATAGTTCAAAAATAGATGATGCAAAATGTATATATTGAAAATTTCATTCAAATTACTTTATTCTGAGCCACTTATCGCTGTCTTTAGTTCTGACAAGATGTATGTATTGATTGTGTTTTATCGTAACCACAGTACTGGTATATTTGAGGTTTAGGATCGCTTTCCCAATTTTAAATTAAATCATTAAATGGCCAAATCATTCTAAACTAGTTAAAATCTCGCGTTGATTACGGTCTTGTCATGTTAAAGGGACATTAGGTAAGATTACACAAAGAGCTGACAGTTCTCACTATAATAGTTAAAAAATAGATAATGAAAAGAGAATATGCTGAAAATGTCAGTCAAATTACTTCACTCGGAACCGACATAATAAAGAGATTCAATTTTAGGCTAGCCTTGATCGTCATTACTACCGTTGGTACGATAATAAAGAAAGTCTCAGTTATCCATTTTAACGTTAAATCATCCATCACAAAACGTATTCAAATCCACTAAATATCGGAGGCTAACGATGGCATCGAGAGTTGATTATGATCTTTATAAGTTAATTAATGTCTAATTAATAATTTAGATAATATTTAAGACCTAACGAAAGAGCTGCAATAGGCAGATTTAGCTCTCGCATAATGTATGTTTAATAAATGTCTAATTAATAATTTATATAAAATTTAAGGTCTAAAGAAAGACATGCAATGGCCAAAATTAGCTCTTGAATAATGTATCTTTAATCCATGCTGAATTGAAGACTTATAATAAGGTCTGGATTCAATCGTATCCCAAAATGCGATGGAAAAACTCATTAGAAAGAACACATTTAAATTTATATACTGTAAACGCGATACACGACATAGCTATAGACATAACTTTTAAAGAAAGAGTTCGAATTAGATTTTTAAAAAAGAAAACAGGACTGTGACAAACCCCCGTTTATTGATTTTCATATAAATACAAATAAACCTGCTGTAATGTATGGGTACCTGTAAAATAGCGCCAACGATTTTTCTAGTTTCTTGATATAGTCGCTCATCATCCCAATCCGTATTGTCATCCAATTTTTGTACAATAGTATTATGTAACCTTACAAATGTTGTATGTAAAGCAGTCAAACCAGGGAACACATGCACTCGATCATCCCCTTAAAATAGTACAAGACAAGAATAACGCATAGAATAATATAACACGACCAATCTCGAAAAAGTAATCGACTCCCACATAACACAGTTTCAAACTTAAGATAATAAAATTCTGAACTACCCAAAACAGATATTGAATTCCTAAAATTTAATATATTTTATTTTTATATAATTACATAATATATTACTTTTGAAAAGTTTAAAAAAAAATTAATATTTTTTTGCCTAGAAAAAGCAATATAGTTTTCATAAAAGAATTAATATAGTTTTTCCTAAAAAAAATTAATGTAATATTTTGACCAAATTTAATGTTATATTTTGACCAAATTTAATGTAATATTTTGACCAAATGTAATATTTTGACCAAATTTAATATTTTGACCAAATTTAATATGATATTTTGACAAAATTTAATATGATATTTTGACAAAATTTAATATAATATTTTGACAAAAATTAATATAATATTTTGACAAAATTTAACATAATATATTTGATACAAAATAAAATATTTGATACAAAATAAAATATTTGATACAAAATAAAATATTTGATACAAAAATAAAATATTTGATAAAAAATACAATATTTAAAAAAAATACAATATTTAAAAAAAATACAATATTTAAAAAAAATACAATATTTAAAAAAGAAATTAAATATTTAAAAAAATATATATATATATTTTATGGAAAATATAATATTTTATGAAAATTAAATACAATATCTTATGAAATTTAAAAAAAAATGCAGAGAAATATGTGTAACTACCTGCAGCAAAACAGAAATTATCTTCCTCGATGCAGTCTTTGCTATTTCCTTTTGGTAGTAAATTATTATCAGATACTTTCATTCTTCCTGAAATTGTGTACATTTCCTGAAGAGGCATACCAACTTTCATGATACAACTTGAATGGAGTAACGACAATAATATTTCTATCATTTGACATTTTCTAAATAACATTTTTAACGAATACAGGCATTTTTTTAAGGAACGACTACAGGGCTGGTCTCGAAGAAGGATACAATTCCTTTGTATACGATAAATTTTTATCTTTATTTAATTCGAAAACAATTTGATTTGGTTAGTTATTTCTTTTGCGAGATGTTTAATTACTTTACCACATTGCACTTTGTACGTCTATTACCGCTGTTACGAAATAACAGTGAAAGTAAATCTTTGTTTGCCTCTTTTCTACCCGAAACAAATTCCCAAACTGTCACTCTTCAAAAAAAAAATAGGGGATATTGAAATGAAAATACCTATGCAGGTTGTGATATGACAAATAGTCATGGACACTTGACATGCTTTGAGTGTATGTTCACAGATGAATAACTTATCGCCCCAACAGAACCACTGAGCTGCATGTGCGACACGCAATAACGCCATACACGTGGGAGGGGTTCATTGTCAAATTTGACACTTCAAGGAAGGGTTGATGAAAACTGCCGCTTGCTGGTTTATCCTAACCATGTTTGCTGTCCTATCGATTCTTGCATAAGATTTTTTACTGTTTAGCGTATCTTTGCTTTAGTGTGTTACGTTTAATTTGATCGGGAGACGTGTTCGTCGACGTCAACGTCAACCGGCAACCCTGCAAGAAGTGGCCGTGGCACTGCAAGAGGTGTGGGTCAGATTGGACGGTTGATTAGGAGCATGCCACGACGAATTGCTGAATGTCTGAGGATTGGTGGAGCAATTACTCACTATTAAGACAAAAATCAAAAAAGCCCATATGAACTGTTTATGCTCATGTGTAGGCAATTGGCCTGTTATTAACATACACTGGTTACCTCTAATAAAAACAGTATTGCATTTCCGCAGTTTTGTATTGTTTGTGAATATCCCCTACTTTTTGTGAAGAGTATATAAATTGGATTCGATAATAATTCCAACGTGAACGCAGTCGATGGGAACTCAGAAATAAAGATAAAAGTATTAACTTAAGCTTCTCACCATCTTCACCCCTTAATCTTTCCTCTGTCTCTTCATCACTACCATATACACTTGAACCATCAACAAAAGCTGTTAACAGATTCTGTTGTTCTCTTGGATTTTCTTCGTCTAAAATATGTTAAGAAAACCAAACTACATACAACTACATACGGCCATACGGCACTGATCACAGTTCATGCTTAAGGGACAATTGTATAACTTGGGATTGCTTAATAGTTCCTGATCAAAATTAAATGAAATTATTCATTTTCCTAAAATCTGTTATTGTTGGACATGTGGTTACAGTGGGATTCATCTTGTTTTAATAAGCCTACTCTACAGATAACCCCACCCCAATGCATAATAACGAGCGGCTGGTTAGCAATTGACAACAACTCGCGGTAGTATATATGAATTTAATCGATACAAAGACTATTTGCAAATCAACTTTTGCTATTAGCCGATGTTTTAATGAAGAAGAGAGTCACGGTGGCAAGCCAGGAGGTCGCGGGTTAGCTCCCGGTGTTGGCCGTGAAAGTACATCGGGATTTGCCAGCGTGGTTTCCTCTTGTCAGTGGTGCAGGATGGAGGGCCTGATAAGGACAGCTGTCTAGTCGTTCGGATGGGGCGAAAAAAAGTCCCGTAAAAGATCCCTTGACAGTTGGAATTCGATATAAGAGCAGGTCATATATAGCACCGCTGTCCGGGCAAAATTCCCCCCATAGCATACTGTATGGCGTATGTCCGTCTTCATTAGCCCAGTCGGGAACGAATAGTTGGACGGTAAACCCTATTTCATTTCATTTCAATAAAGAAAGTATGGAGCCACGTCCAGGTGATTCTCTCTTTACAATGCTGCTTCCAGTTCTTTTAAATTCTGTAAAAGGGGGTCAATGGCTAGTATTCCCAGGCTAATGACATCGCAATATGTGTTTCTAGGGATTCAGATCCGGACCCCGGGCTTGCCATGGCAATGTCTTCTCAGCATTGTTTTTAAGGTAATCAGGCCTTGTGGCGAGTGCGTTATTGACTCCTGTGCCGTATTGCTAAACGTCATGTCAGACGAATTCGCAGATAGGCATGAGCAACCTTTGATGACAGGAAACGGAGATTAACGTTCTACATTTCTGCACTGACTGGACTGACGAAGACGGAACTTTGCAGGTTCTTATGGAAGCAAGGCATGTATACTTCGAGCGGTTTCTCAACAGATATATATACGGAGGCTTGAGACGGCAACTCCTTGCAAGGGCTGGCGTCCTATTAGGCGAAGCAGCGCCCTATTTTCGCATTACAACTGTGTGTTGTCTGGAACTTGGACGGTCCTTCACAACATTAGTATGTCCATGTTTCCGAACTGACGATCCTGTGATAGAAGCCCAGTTGACGGCTATAGCCTTGAAGGACATTCCCCGAATGAATGAATAGCCATTACCATAAAATAATCATTCAAACCTATTTTCTCTTCAACAGATCGGGAACGAAGAAATTCTATACAATTCCTTTTAAAGAACCTGTCTGGAGGAATCTGAACAATCGGTATCGGGAAACATTGACCAGAGCTGTAAACAATAGAGAGAGTTAACGTTCGCCTTATTATCTTGATTTTTTTTTATTTCAGTTGTACAGGAAACGACAAGCATTAATAATGTGGGCGCATGAAAGAACTCGATTCTGGTTTCGTATTTTGTCAACTCAAAATTCTATGAAGTTGCTTGATTTGTATTTACATGTTGATCCATATGTATAATAGGTTTTCACAAGATACTAAAACTGTGTCCAGTTTGTGTAGTTCAGATAAAACTGTACAGCTATGATTAATTAATGTAAAAGTGGTAGATAATATGATAGACAATATCTTACCAACTTGAAACGTCTGGATGGAGTCCATTTTCCTGTATGTCCTCACAACACGGAGTTTGTGTATCAGCTGTAATAGAATTTGTGTATTTTTTTTAGTAAACTTTGGCAAGAGAAACTACTGGGAATATGTCAAACTCCATCTCCACAAAAATACATGTGCAAAATATAAAAATTGTACATGCATACATGTACATCTTTTTGAGAAATGCTCAGAGGGTAAGTGTGATAAATGAAATACAGCACCATATGCCATTCTGAAACGACGCCCACCTCTCTAACTATACGAACTCCGTAATCATGAGTAGAATAAACACTATAGAAATCGGGAAAAAAACTTACGTTGTTCTATAGCAGCGGCTGTTAAATCATGGTCTAAGAATTGTCCCCACTGCATAAGCATCACTGTACTCCTCGAATTCACGTTCTTAGCTGGATGTACAACAACACTAACAGTTCTTGCACTTGGTAATAAGGGTTTATCAAGCAGAGTTTTGTACCAATCCCACCAATAATCAAAGAATCTTTTACCACTGCCCAAAGATTCTTTACGTTTGTAACCTCCTTTAGGAAAATGAATATCATATGGAAATCCGAAACCTTGTGTTGATCTAATCCTCGGTAAGCAGATACCTAAAGACGAAACAGTTTAATTAATGTTTGAAAATTTGTTTCAATTTAAAACAGGTCGACATAAAACGTCCATGTCATTGTTATTTTTCCTTTCGTTCGTTTAACGTCCGCAAGTTCGGCTGCAATTAGTTCACATGGTTTTCAGTTTATTAGTGCATGAACATTGGACCGAGAAAGTTCATCCAGATTTTCCGGCACGGTTACCCCTTGTCAGTGGTACAGAATAGATAGTCTGGCAAGGGACAACGTCGTTCAGATGGGACCAATAACCAGGTCCCGTGTACATATTGGCATGCACGTAAAAGATCCCTTGAGAATTGGAATTCGATATGAAAGTAGGCCGTAGTGCCGCTGGCCGGGCAAAACCCCTTTCATAGCACACTGCATGGCGTATGCCCGTCTTCATTAGCCCGGTCAGGAGCAGACCAGTAGGACGTTAAACCCCATTTCATTTCATTTTATTTAGTACAAGAACCCCCCACCCCCACCCCTTTCTAAAGGTACTATTATCTCGTCATTTGATTGTTTTCAACGGTTCATGACGAACCTGTTGACTTCGGGTTATACAAATGTTACTCGATTCGAAAACCGAATTATTTAATGCAGTAGATACCAAAAAGTTACAAAAATATAGTACAATCTTTAGACCTATTATTCCCTGCTAAACAATACAGTTTGAACTTCTGTCATCTTTAGAAGCCACGTAGGGTATACTACATTAAAAAAAACTCCAGCCCAACAATGTTCTTTAATTGATGCATGACTGAGTTGATTACTTACCATCTTGATATTGAGGATAAACATATCGTTTATATCTTTCAAATGATTTACCCTGTGTTGGTCGTCTTATATTATTACAATAACCAGTAATATTTCTGTAAAGTCGATCGGAGTCTGGGCAAGGAGAATCAAAATCAGTATCAGCACCACCATCAAAATCGGCATCTGCAGCATCACCAGCAAACCCACCAAAACCAAAGAATTGGTTGAAACTATAAAGATTGGTTTTTAGAGAAGTAAATTATTCCATTAGGATACAAATCAATAGTCGTTAGATACATGTCACTTTATTTTGCAATTCGTGATAATATAATTAGTAACATCAGTTTTGTATTTTGTAAAAGTAATTAATTACAACAACTTCTGTATTCTGAAGAGCGTCGCCCCCAAGAATAATAAGAATAGCAACAACATGATTGATATAGCTCTTGCGGACTAGTTCCTGACCCAAAAATCAGAGGGGAAAAAATAAATCAATGAGATATTACCTCCTTGGACCTATAGTTGATATTTCTACTGTAGTCTCTCTCTGTTTATAATCCCTCTTCATGGCTGACAATTGAGCTTGGTACATGGTGAGTGACATGACGTAATCATTGTCTTCAATAAAAAAAAGTGTTTAGCAATAACAAAGTTACTAATTCCAAAAGATGTGATGTAACGCTCCTACCCTTTTGGAGATTGCGGCTACAACCCACACTGAAAAGTTCGTTCACATAATTCGTTCAAAAATGAAGAGACTCAAATTCTCAGATTCTTCGATCCACTGGAATCTAGATGCACCGAGTGTATCAACATCGTCGTCTCCAGAAATCAACTGGAGCCGTTCAATCATAAGTTTAACACAAATATGATGCAAGTCTTACAAGTACCCAACATGAAATATAAGATTGACGTTAGTTTTCTAAATAACCGCCTATCCAGTAAACAGGTTATTGGTTCAGCTCTTGTTTTATCATTTTAAAAAAAAAAAAAAATGAGGGATCAGTTAAGCTAAGACCAAAACAGATCTGAGCTGTAACATTTGGATTCCGTACGTATACAGACCGGGAGGCTCAGTGGCGGATCATGGCGAGGGCAACTGAGGCAAATGCCTCGGGGCCGGGCCCCGACGGGATGCGGCGACTTTGTGACTATTGTTTTTGTTATTTTGTAGAAAAAAAAGAAGACACATGTTTTATAAATCGCGAAACATATTGGTCGACTATTAGGTAGGGGAACCCAAAGGGCATCGGTCAGAAAAAAATTGGTACAACGATTCCACGTTGGGTGGGTTGGCAGCGGCATTTCCGCAGTTTTGTATTGTTTCTGAATATCCCCTGCTTTTGTTTTGAAGAGTATAGCTCAAAAATAGACAATGAAAAATGAATACATCGAAAATTTCTCTCAAATCAGAGTTATCAGTGTTTGAATTTTTCACCAGAAGTAGTGTACATGTTTATTATCGTACTTGACAATCGTTAAATCTCGCGAGTGTTGAGTGTAGGCTTTATTCTGGATGAAGTTATCAGTATTTAAAGTTTTAGCAAGATAGTCTCGATTGTCAAGTACCGTTACTACAATAACAAGTCTCGATTACCCATTTTAGAGTTATATTTTAAATGCAACGAGTGTTCTTATCCATTCAATATCTAAACCATCTGATGGTGTAGAGAGTTGATTATGGACTTGCCATGTGAATAACTGTCGAAATTATAATATTATGTACTAGCAGGATACCCGGCTTCGCTCGGGGGTCATAACTCCGAAACCGGAAGTGGTAGACTAACGCCACCTGGCCTATGTTACTCCCCTGTCCGAGCTACTCCTATACCCCAAATTTCAGACTCGGGGCAGAACTAGTGTAGCCGCCAACCCCGAACAGACAGACAGACAGAAAGACAGACAGACAAACGACAGTCACATATATATATAGTTAGATAGATAGATGACATATAAACAATAGGCGTACGGGCCTAATGAATATTGGGGTATTCAATTGTGCACCCATTGGGTTTAGCGACACACTTGTCAATTCATTCAAATATAACCCCGTTTTTATTAGAAATGAAATGGGGTTTAACGTCCTACTGTTCTGCTCCTATACTGGGCTAATGAAGACGGGAGTTTTCATTAGCCCAGTCGGAGTAGAACAGTAGGACCTTAAACCCCATTTCATTTCATTTCGATTCATTCTTATGATTAAAGCTGAACTCCGGTTACAAAAATACTGAAATAATTAAATAAAAAAAAAAGTTAACGCCTCCAAGCCGCCATACTTGTTTCTAATTTGTGAAATAAATATGGCGGACATGGAGGCTTATGACCTGGAAAGGTTAGCCGATCTCACTTCCAGTTTGTTTCTTGTCAGCTAGCTGTACACACCCGGCCTTATTCTCCACACACGCTTTACTGATTGCTCTATTGTTTCCCAACAGTATACCAAATTATTGAAGATTGCAAAATGTCTGATCAGGTAAGCCTGTAAATAATTATATGAACTGTGTCTACTACTATATAGCCTAAAAGCTTTACCTAAAACAAAAGATGCAAAAAGATGGTTTACCCCAACCTGAAGAAGACAATAGTTTGTGCAGGTGATTTGTGCAGCTGTGTAAAGCTCAGGCTATATAGTAGTAGACGCAGTTCATATAATTTACTCACCTGCACAAACTATTGTCTTCTTCATGGTTGTAAATTTCAGGTTGGGGTAAGCCATCTGTTTGCATCTTTTGTTTTAGAGTAAAGCTTAGGCTATATAGTAGTAGACGCAGTTCATATAATTATTTACAACCTGATCAGACATTTCGCAATCTTCAATAATTTGGTATACTGTTGGGAAACAATAGAGCAATCGGTGAAGCGTGTGTAGAGAAAAAGGCCGGATATGTACAGCTAGCTGACAAGAAACAAACTGGAAGTGAGATCGGCTAACCTTTCCAGGTCATAAGCCTCCATGTCCGCCATATTTATTTCACAAATTGGAAACAAGTATGGCCTCTTGGGGGCATTAACTTTTTTTTGTTTAATTATTTCGGTATTTTTGTAACCGGAGTTCAGCTTTAAACATCAACATAATCACTCGGTAAATCAACTGCCAGTCTTTATCTTCATTGGAGCAATTTTGAAACAAACCTCTCGTTTCCCTTTTTAAATCAAATAAGGGTTATGTTGCATTTACCGTAAATAGCTCATATAATATATTTTACAAAGAAATATAATATATTTTACAAAGAAATATAATATATTTTACAAAGAAATATAATATATTTTACAAAGAAATAGAATATATTTTAAAAAGAAATAGAATATATTTTAAAAAGAAATAGAATATATTTTAAAAAGAAATAGAATATATTTTAAAGAAATAGAATATATTTTACAAAGAAATAGAATATATTTTACCAATAAAGTTTTCCAAACCTCGAAAATAACATTTTTCTTTTAGTTCGAATTAACATATATACCTGTAAACGCAATATAAGATGCATGCTGCCATGGCAAATTCTCATAAATTTTGCGTAGGAACTGAGAAAGTCAGGGTACCAATTGCAAAAACAAATGACACTGTATAAGCAGTAAATATCATACCCCCCCCACCCCAGGGATAAAAGAAAAAAATCCCGTACCTCTATTCTTATGCCGAGCTTGCACGACTGAACCAAGCATCACCGCACAAGCTGCAAGAATAAAGCATCTTGCAGACGTCATCTCTACAAACTGGAATGAAAAAGATAATGTAAGATTTGATCATATTGTCACTGTATTATTATGTAGCCGTTCCTCCGAAGTACAAGTCAAGACACACATACACACACACATACCTCAAAAGATAATTGCTACATGTCAGCTGAATAGACAATGACGTCCAGAACCATTCTCAAATCCTCGTTCCTTTCTATTGTTTTTTTTAGTGGTTTCGATTTCCCGGTTGTACGTGATAAGACGTAGGGTCGCCTTTCCAACCTCGTGGGGTTTCTCCGGGTCCTCCGGTTTCCTCCCACTGGTAATCAATCAGTCAAATGTATCTCGGGTTCATCTTTTGTGATGGATTATCGGCGGTAGAAAACCAATGACCCCTGTCTGAGTGCCTGTACCCTTGATAATTTTTGTATGGTTGTTTTTTTTTTTGCCTTTTCTCCAAGGTAATTTTTTCGCGTGGTGTGTGAGCAGTGGTTTGTCCGACAAAGAAATCTGACAGTGGTCGACAAATAATTTATAATGTGCGATGGTCTGAATTTGAACTTGAAATGAAATATAATGGGGTTTAGCGTCTTAACGATTGGGATAATGAAGAAGGTCATACGCTATGCAGTGTGCTATGAGGGGTATTTTGCTAAAAGACAGCAGTACGATACAGCCTATTCTTATGTCGAATTCCAACTGTCTGTGGTTCTTTTGCCTGCCCGCCAGCGTGTATACGGGACCTCGATGATTTTTCGTCACACCCAAACGACTATACGTTATCCCCTGCCAGGCCCTGCGTCCAGCACCACTCACAACGGGGGACTACGTCGAATGAACATTCTCGGCAAACACGCAGGTTAGCGAGCCAACGTCTTAAGAAACACATTATCAGAACACATTTTTTTATGCGAATCAATCATTTACAGCTCCCCCCCCCCCCAAAAAAAAAAAAATGATTTTGTCCCATATATATGTGTTTTATGGATAGTTTATATTAATTGATTATATATATATATATATTTCTGATAATATATATATATATATATTTATATTATCAGAAATGTACTAAAGGAATTACCTACCTTAGAGCCTAGCACCAAATGTGTGTATATATTTATATTATCAGAAATGTACTAAAGGAATTACCTACCTTAGAGCCTAGCACCAAATGTGCAAAAAAACGGGAGAAATTACATTTATGCTCAGAGATACACGTACAAATTGACAAGTGTCGCGTCACCTTTCGACAGTTGATGGATAGTGTATCTCATAAAAATACATTCTTAACACATTCAAAGCAGAACAGTGGGCTGTTAAACACCATTTCATTTGATTTCTTTAAAGAAAGAATACAACGAGTAAGTTTAAGTTACAAGCGGTGAGATTAATATAAATAGTCCATGTCAGATTCTATTCTACCCAAGATGGCTTTTAATTATTGCAGTGGCGGATACAAATGTTTCCAAAGGGTGGGGGAATGGGTTCTATATGCAAGATTCCAAGAAAATAACAATGTACAGTCTACCAACATTTTGGTCAATAAAACGCAGTTTGTAACATTTTATTCCGTTTCATATGCGAAATTGTCCAGTAGACTACAATTAAACGGCAGAAAACGAAGTTGGTAAATGGTTCGATATTCATGGTAAATGGACAGCGACTTACAACACCAACAATCTCTTTTTAGATTCTCCCTCAATCAGGTCACGTGACAAGACTGTTCTTAAAACAGATTCTTGTCTCACGGGTAGTTAAGTTTCTTGCGATTAACTTCAGATCACTATACCCGAGGACAGACTTTTTGTACCTGTATTTGGATATTTGGAGACACACGTTTATGTCAATTCCCATATCTATATTGGAGTTTATATGCCATTAAGCGTTTAAACCAATATTTGTTACATTAATTGTGTGCTGTAATTCATGTTGCTGTATTGTTATCTGAGAATATAGTAATATCAACAACCAGCAAGAGTCATGCTTTTATTTATTATCCACCAGCATAGAGAGAGAAATGGGGGTTAAAGTCCACTCGACACAAACTAGGTCATTTCGGGACTAACATATGGTTCAATTTTATTTCAATAATTCGCTTGCGCAAAGGGGTCTTTAGCAGTGGTAGGAATCCGGAAGACCCGGGAAAACCCACGAGGTTGGACATGCGACCCAATTTAAAAATATGATCAGAATGATCGTATTAACTAGAAGTCATAGTCTGTATAATATCAACTGAGAAAGTTGTACAAAAATGTTTCTAATTTCAAGATAAATCGTATTCATCAATTAATAATTGTCCATTTCACTTGTAAAATATACAAAGTTCAACATATTTTCATCCCACAGAAATACCAATGTGAAAGCATAGAGCCACCAAAGCACAGATTATCAGCGTTCGACAATTAATTGTCCATTTCACTTTAATTGCGATGTTGCTAAGATTATCCTATTTTCAACCAAAACAAAGAACTGCTTTGTGGTATTTTGAATTTTACTGGGGGGATTTTACCGGTAGATGTTTACTGGGGGGATTATTAGCGGTAAATTAAAATATTGGGCCATAGTTTAGGATAATGCTTAACTTTGATAGAAGGTAATGTAACTTGTCTCGAAGTGCACAAATGTCAAATTAAGAATAATAAAAAAAAAATCATATCATTTGGAATTTATGTAATGGAAAGTTTATTTCAGGATTTTTAATGTCTTTATGCTCAATCAACGTCACAATATTACTTTATTCTGGCAGAATGACAAATGATGTTTGACAATAACATATCGAATGACCTTGAAAATAATAAATTATTTTGTACTCAAATGGGATGAAAATAGACAATAAAACAAAAAATAAAAATCCAAAACTTGCATTATGTTATATAACTTGGATTCAAATGTTATATAAACTATTATTTAAACAGTTATTCACATGACAAGCCTGCAACCAACACCTGTAAAATGTTGATTGTCAAGTACCGTTTCTACGACAATAAACATAAATACAATGCACAATGCATAGGGTGGTGTAGCTATGTATATATCCAAAAATATTAGCACAGCTGAAGAGCTGCACCACTTTGTAAAATGTCCATTTAAATATAAATCTAATGAATGTTATAGTAAGCAACAAGAATTAATCGATAATATATCGTACTTTTTAGTCACTAATAGTTTGAATAACCTAAATAACATATTTCTTTAAATTCGTACTTTTCAGTTTATTATAGCGTGAACTAATTATTTATATTTAAAACAACATTGTTTCCCCTTGTCAATGGGGCAGCAGGGGGTGGGGGTGTCATGGGCAGCGTCTAGTTATTCGGTTGGGATATGAAATTGAGGCCCCATGTACACGTTGGCGTGCGCGTAAAAGAACTATTGGTAACTGGAATTCGAAATAACGAATACACCGTAACGTCGCTGTTTGGGCCAATGCATGGCGTGTGTACATCTTCATTAACCCGGTCGATAATAATAATAATAATCAATTTGTATAGCGCTGAGTGCTTCAGCTAACAGCTGCTCCACGGCGCTCTTCATAATTAAAATAAATACAATGTAAAACAAATAGTTCTAAAACATTAAAATGTCAACATGTTCATAGTTTAAAAGCACGTTTAAAAAGTTCGGTTTTAAGATTTTTTTTTAAAAACAGCAACATTAGTAGAGTCTTTGAATCTAGGAAAAAAAGTCACAGGTAAAAAAGTCACACTGAAAAAACACAGTAAAAAAACACAGGTAAAAAAGTCACAACTTATATATATATTGTATTGTAGAGTGAGTATATCTTTGATCTTTTAAGTTATTTGTCTTTGAGTTAATTAGGTTTGGTTAACAGAGTGGTTACTCTACATTACCTTGCTGCAAACACTATACAAACAGATTGGCTCTTTGATCAGTGCTGTGAGTTGATCTGTTGTCTTTGTTAAATGTTAAGCCACTTATTGTGTTTGTTTAATAAAGTGATTAGATCCAATGACATCTACATGCAAATTATATATAAAGCTTCATTACTGTTCAATCAGACCAGCAGAAGAGGATTGAATGTGGTATTTGAAGGCCACATGTGCACAAAACATGCTACTCGTAAAACTAAAATCTGGTGGAAGTGCGTTAAGCGATCGAGTATGTCATGCAGAGGAAGTATTGTGACAGACCTACAGAGAGAAAAAAAACCGAGATCAGAGTTTCTCACAATCACCCTGCAGATGAAATACAGATCTCCTTGACCAAGGTGCGTCTGAGAATGAAACAGCAGGCATCTGACACAAGAGACAAGCCAAGTCAGATATTTGCCCAATTAAAAAAAAAACTTTAAAAACTTTAAATAACAAATTTAAATAAGAAATATGTCAATTCCAACCACTACATAGAATTATGTCTTTAATCATTATTTTTCTGTTGTATAGGTTGTAGCAGATTGTGACACCGACACCCGAGCCATTATGCCCAACCATGAAACCTGCAAACGGATGATGAGAAACCAACGACCCACACCACCAGTTCCAGCTACTCTGAGTGACCTTGGTTCCATTCCTAAAGATTTTTCGACAACTACATAATAATAATAATAATAATAATAATAATATGTCCATTTATATAGCGCAAAATCCACAAATCGTGCTCATAGCGCATACAACTATACAAAAGTCTTTTGGCTCTATGCTTTTTGGTTTTTTTTTTTGTCAATTTCTGTAGTGAGTTTTGAAAAGATGAGTTTTTAATCGAGATTTGAAGATTGATAAAGAAGTCACAAAACGGAGATCAACTGGAAGTGCATTCCATCTTTCAGCGGCAGCAACAGCAAACGCTCTTTGTCCAAAGGTAGCAAGTTTCCACTTTGGTACCACTAGCTGATTGAGATTTTCTGAACGCAACTATCTTTTTGGATTATATCGTTGAATTAATTTGCAGAGGTAATCAGGAGCCTCTCCACTGACACACTGATGTGTTAGACAGAGTATTTTAAATTCTATCCGGGCACTGACTGGTAACCAATGAAGGGTTTGGAGAACTGGGGTTATGTGACA